CATGCTTAAAGAAAAAAATGTATATGTAAAAATTATTTTACTGTAAAATTACTGCACAAAAATCTTAAACTGAAATCAGGACACAGACGCTGGGTGAGGACAAGTCTCAATATATATGTCATATAGATAACTGAATATGAAAAAAATATGTTCTTTGTATCTGATTTATTTAATAACAATGATTTATGATGTTATATATAGTCTGGAAAAAAAACGGATACCTACGTACATGAAGCCTGTAACAGTATTTAACTGTTGCAGCTGTTTATACTGCATAAAATACCTTTTTTTGGCATGGACTGCATAATTCAGTTGTAATATTAACATAAATCATTTAAACTTTATATTATTTATTTATTTATTTGGTCTACAAACTAAAATTTTGTAAAAAAATATTTTCTATAACAGGTTGTATAACTTTGAGGCGGTCCCTTCCTATAAAATTGCATGATCAGCTATTGGGTAACTCGGTGCAATTCATTTGAATAGCGCTATCAAAATAATTCCTCAAGTATTTTTTAAACGGTTGGTGTTGCAGGTAGTTAACATATTGGGCATCAAATATCTACCAGCTTTGATCCAATATCTTTCGAGTTTTTATGATATATAAGGCATTAAATTCAAATATGCGTTGTCAACGGCGCTAAATTTCACGAGAAACGGAAACGCTTGGTTAAGCATCTGAGTGAATCTGATATGAATTACACGGATGTTTACATTTTTTTCCGCTGTCAAGTAGCTAACATCCTAATATATATATATAGGTAAAAACATTTATAAGCTCAAAACTGTTAGAAGAATATTTCGTTAAATCACTGACTGATCCGTTATTGGCTATGGTCTGCTATTGGCTAACTCACTGTAGATGTTTGATATCGTTACAATTAAAAAAAACAAAACAACAATAGCATGTTTCATTTTATCTATATGAGATAAAAACAATAAATATGTACAATAATTGAGAAAAGGGTACATTTTTATGGTATTAATATGACATTATCAACTTTGAAACATTTTATTTAATTTGTTATCCGTGTTTAGTAAAGATGCCGAGGAATACAAATTAGATTTTATGAATTATTCAATTGATTGATAATTTAAAAAATGATAAAGAAAAATACAAATGTACATGTACATGGTTTAAGAATAAACAATATTATATATTGAAAGATAAACCATAATTTACTGACTTTTTCCAGTTAAGTTTTGACTTATAATCGTCAGTCAATATGACAATTGAATTCTTAAAATTTATTTTACAATTTTAATAAAAAAAAGAGTAGTACGCTCGTAAACATAAAAACTCAGTATTAAAATAGAACATAAAACACAAAAAAGAAAAGAAAACAATATTCATATTTGTATTTTTTTAATTAAAATTAATAGATATTACAATTATTGTATAATAAACAATTATGCTCAACATAATCAACATGTTAATATAACCAGTGTCATATTTTTACAAAGTGTGAACAGATACCTTAATAGGGGGTCTTCGCTAATAGCGATAACATAATAAGGGACAATTACAAAGGTGTGGTACGTGTTGATCATGCGTTACACATATGGATTATAAATAATTGTATACATGTATATCCGTTGCTATTAATAACCACGATCATAAAGAAAAATAAAAAGTAATATTCTAATCTCTAGCATGCCAATCAAAGTTCATAATGAACACACTCATTCATAAGTGATATACAATTCTGGTAAAAACCAATTAACCATTGAAAAGTGTATAAGAATATTTTGTCATCATATGTCTACTAGTTCATCTTCACTTGCTGCTTTTCTTGCTTGGACGCCCTTTGATGCTTTGCATCAATGCTTTTCTTGTAATAATCTCTGTAAAGAGTTTTAGATGAATACCCGGACTTAAAGCGAGGTTTAAGTACTAGAAAGAGCACCGATACACGATACGAGGGGGCGTAGCCCCCGATTATAAATCAGATTGCCGAGTGTTTTGGTGTTCTCATAGTCAAACATAAAAGCACGTTCCCTGTTGTCACAATATGAAACCCCGGCAAAAATGAACCAATGAACGAACATCTGAATATGACATTTCTGTCGCTTTTCCTTTCTCGGTCGTCACAGTATGTAAACCCCAGCAAAAAATGAGCCAATCAATGGGCATGCTCTGGTGTGCGGGTAACTACTAATACCCGCACTCCAGTTAACGCACTGTGCATGTATATGTATACGATTTAACCCTGACATATTTTCAACAGAAAGGTCTCCAAACTATGATACAATCTACATAGATTTCATAGATTTTACACTCCTAATCAATAATCTATTCAGTAAAGTAGTGGTAATTTTAAAATTTAAACATACGTTATAGTTATAGTACATGAAACTCGTTAGTTACGAGGGTATAACACTGGCTGGGGCGACATCAAGGGGTGTTTCTGCTAAAAAATGACGAGGCCGTTAGGCCGAGTCAATTTTTTGTGTGCAAAAACATCCCGAGATGTCGCCCCAGCCAGTGTTATACCCCCGTAACTAACGAGTTTCATGTACTATAACTGTTTTATCGCAATGGCATAATGTTTTCTTTTTTTGTAAAAGAAACAAATAAATTAATCGTTAGCTACATTACAGTTATTTATCATAAGGCAGTTTTTCAAGTTGTTTTCGCTGCCGCAAAAAAAAATTTTACAAAAGACATCCAATATTAGAGACGGGTTGGATACTGTTACCAAGATTGATTTAAGATTAAAAGGCTTTTTTCAGTGGAAATAATTCATTCAGCGGATGTACCTTTTTTATTAAATTAGAGTAAATTTCATTTCATTAATTATCTTTGTTTATATTTTTCATTGTATTTATATATTTATTTTATCTTTTTTTTTTATTGATTTCAGTTTTTTATTTTAGGGTTTTTTTGTGTTTTTTTTTTTTGCTACTGGGAATGGTCGTTACCACTGCCCCATTGGAGCCTCTATGAAAAAACTGTATTGATATATACAATCTGCGAAAAAAACTAGACCGATATATAACAGTCGAGTTTTTTCCCTATATGAAACTATGGAACGCCGTGACTGTCTTATACTATCAATGTTTTTGATATCTTGTGAAGTGATGATATTATTGTGTCATTTAAGCATATTAACAAGTGCAATTTACATCATATCTTGTATAAAGACAATGCTGACTTGTTCAAACAGAATGTTAACTTGTCAAATAATCATTATGACATGTGCAGACAAATGTTAACTTGTCAAAGTATCATGATGACTTGTGCAAACGACATGTTAACTTGTCAAAATAGCATGATGACTTGTGCAAACGACATGTTAACTTGTCAAAATTTCATGATGACATGTGCAAACAGCATGTTAACTTGTCGAATTATCGTGATGACATGCTCATGATACCTTAACAAGTTAACATGTGTTTTGCACAAGTCATCACGGTTCTTTGACAAATTAACATGTTGTCTGCACAAGTCATCAAGATTATTTGACAAGTTAACATGGCATTTGCACAAGTCATCACGATACCTTGACAAGTTAACATGCTGTTTGCACAAGTCATCATGAAATTTTGACAAGTTAACATATCGCTTTCGCAAGTCACCATGATACTTGGACAAGTTAGCATGTTGTTTGCACATGTTATCACGATGATTTGACAAGTTAACATACTGTTTGCACATGTTATCATGAAATTTTGACAAGTTAGCATGGCATTTGCACAAGTCATCATTATACTTGGACAAGTTAACATGTCGTCTGCACAAGTCATAATGATACTTGGACAAGTTAACATGCTGTATGCACATGTCATAACGATAATTCGACAAGTTAACATGCTGTTTACACATGTCATCATGAAATTTTGACATGTTAGCATGGCATTTGTACGGAAGCTTGTATGTACCCCCGCTATGAAGACATGAAGTCGTCTCCCTCGACTTATAGAACACAACAAGTCGTCAAAATTACGACGACAAGTTTATATATACCATGTCATTTTGACAAAATATATGTCATCATGTCGCGATACGGTATCCCGACTTTCATACGTTAATATATTTGTCGACTAGAAATAACATGGATGTCGACATACATGTTACTTCAAGTCGACAAATTTATTTATGTAAGAAAGTCGGGATGCCGTATCTCGACATGATGACATATATTTTGTCAAAATGACATGGTATATATAAACTTGTCGTCGTAATTTTGACAACTTGTTGTGTTCTATAAGTCGAGGGAAACGACTTCATGTCTTCATAGCGGGGGTACATACAAGCTTCCGTGTTAGCATGGCATTTGCACAAGTTATCATAATACTTTGACAAGTTAACAGTACGTTTTGACATGTCAGCATGATACAAAATAACATGTCATTTGCACAAGTCATCGCAATTCTTTGACAAGTTCACATGTTGTCTTCACAAGTCATCATGGTAATTTGACATGTTAACATGCTGTTTGCACAAGTCATCATGATACTTTGACAAGTTCACATGCTGTTTGCACATGTCATCACGATAATTCGACAAGTTAACATGTCGTTTGCACAAGTCATCATTATACTTTGACACGTTAACATGGCGTTTGCACAAGTCATCATGACACTTTGACAAGTTAACATGCTGTTTGCACATGTCATCACAATAATTCGACAAGTTAGCATGTCGTTTGCACAAGTCATCATTACATTTTGACAAGTTAACATGCTGTTTGCACATGTCATCACAATAATTCGACAAGTTACCATGTCATTTGCACAAGTCATCACGATACTTTGACAAGTTAGCATGTTGTCTCCACATGTCATCATAATAATTTGACAAGTTAACATGCTGTTTGTACAAGTCAGCATGTTCCTTTGACAAGACATGATGTAAATTGCACATGTTAACATACTCAAACAACAAAATTATATCATTGTTTCACAAGATAACAAAACATTGATTACATAAGACAGTCACGGCGTTCCATATGAAATGCTCATTGAAGTGTACTGAGTATAATGGGTTATAAGAACAAAGGAAAAATTCCAAACCATGCGATAAATAAAAAGAAACACATGTGGTTTCACGAATTCTTTTTAACGATATTCAGTTAACATAATTACGTTTTTTTAATATGTCACAACATTTAAATGGATATATTTGGTAAACAAAGTTTTATTTTGTATTTAAATGTGTAGCTAGTTTGACAAAGCTTGATTGAACACGATTCCTTGTTGATTAATTAACCAATAACTCAACAAATAAGGTAAGGATTATTTTACATAGACACCTTGTTGTAATTAAAGATACAAATGTAGAATGCGGTTCAAGTTTGAGACTTTTAGAATTGATTTGCGTAGTAAAGTTCGGGTTCAGTTAAGATAAGCTCTAAGGTCTGTAAATTATTGTGAGTTAAAATCACAATTTTAAAGATAAACTTCATTTATACATTACTAATTACAAATTAAATGTAATAATTTCAAGCTTAAGAGAAGCACTTATTTATCAATAATATACGAAATACGCGTATTTACATGATTTACCTGTGGATATTTTTTTACACAATTCATAAATGGATACCTTGTTTCTGGTTATTTTATCTATTCTAGATTTGCCAAATATTTTACTCCACATTTACTTGTCATAAGTAGAATGTATGGGTTTGTTTTGATTTGATAGAACTGAAAAAAAAATGAAAATAAAATAAACACAGACATATTTTAGCCTGTTGGGTACCTAATGTAACCTATACAATATGTTCCCGGTAGCCACGAGAAATCCTTTTGGGCCAACGTAAGGAGAACAGGATGATAGAGAGTCGGGATATACCTGAATTACCGTGGATGCCGTGCTGGCATTTTGACAGTTTGAAATTTCGACACGGTTTAAAGGTCTGTCAAGGTTTAAACATGACAATTTATAATTCAGGCACGGTTTAAAATTCTGGCACACTTTAAGCACTGTTTAAAATTTTGGCATGCTTACTAATTCTGGCACGACATCCACGGTAATTGCATGCAGCTACGTTGATGATGATATACAAATCTTAATGAAAGCCTTATTAAACGGAATGAACGCTACAAAATTACTACGTACTGGTGCATAACAGCAGAAGCTTATAAATTATGTTTTATAGATATATAATAAATAAAATAAACATAAAGTTACATTTTGAAAAAAAAAGATACTGCCATTAGTTTTTATATCAGAAAAAAGGATATTTATTTATCAAGCATATCACGATCGAAACTGCCATACAATGTCCAGGACATTTCAAACCAGGACAATTACTAGGAATACTGGCCGCCTACGTAAAACCCCTTTTTCTTTTTTAAATTTAAGAGGAACCGTAGAATCTATTGGCATGCAAGGAGGAAACCTCCTCAGACTATTCCTCGGAATATAGAACAACGGCCCGTGCTTAGATATGCCAATAAACGTATAAAATACATACAGCTCAATAAAGAGGAACGTTCTGTTTAAGCAAAATACTCTTTTAAAGAAAAAATACAATGTAGCGTAATATTTAATGTAAGGTTGCTTAAAACCATGTATAACAATGTGAAATAACAACCATTATATCAATACTACAAAGCTTATGCAGATCTCGTAAAAACAATACAATTATAAATCCGATAAAGGGATAGAAAACATATTTGAGCCGTGTCACGACTAAACCAACATAATGGGTTTGCGACCAGCATGGATCCAATCCAGCCTGTGCATCAGCGCAGTCTGATCAGGATCCATGCTGTTCGCTATCAGTTTCTCTACTTGTTACAGGGTTTGTAAGAGGACAGCATGGATCCTGATCAGACTGCGCGGATGCACAGGCTTGCCTGGATCCATGCTGGTCGCAAACGCATTATGTTGGTTTTGCCATGGCGTGGCTCATTTATTATTACAGATTGCTTAATTAAAGTTTTAGGCACTTGTTTCAAAAGTGTAATTACTAACTCAATATGAAATCCAGCTATGACGTTTCATTTGTAATGGATTAAGCAAAAATAGAGATTTCGACCACCGTGTTTCGCTATGAATACAACAGGACAATACACTACTATAATTAGGTAACAGTACTTGTCTTTACACCTGAATTTTATAAATGTTTTCTAAATGTCGGATAATCCAAACGATACTCCTTATAGTGGCAAAAAGAAAAATAAAAACAAAAAGAGACGTAAAAGTGCTGTATCCCCAAACTTGAATAGCGAGCAACCAGAAAAGCGTCTTTCGGTAATGGCTCAAATCAAGCCGCCAATGTTATTTCGGGATACAATCTGACTTTCCCCACCTCCCTCAACTTGGACTCAGCAGTATTCTGGCAACACTATCCTCCACTTTAACAATTGGGTTTCCAAATCAATCTGTGCAGACTCCCACTTTTCTAACAGCCGGCCACAATTTCGCCTGGTAGTCTTGAGATAATCCCTCATCCAGTATCCAGTCCGCTAAAATGTTCAAAATCAATCAAAGGTTCTTGACATTATTGGCAGAGTTGAATGCAATAAAATCAAGCCAATACGCTTTAGAAAGAAAGCTTTCTAAACTTGATTGTAATTAAAATAGAGTCAGATGTTCTTAATAATTTCAAGCAATATGAAAAAAGTTGAAAACCGTATATGGTCTCTTGAGGAATCTATGCACTATGGGCAAAACTACTACCAAAAATTGAACGATTTCTTTAAAAGCAAGCAGAAACTTTGACTCTGAAAAATGTGTGATGATTTAAAAAGAAAAATGAAGAAGTTATGAATGCTTTGAAGGCAGAAAAATTAAAAAAGTAATGGCTTATTAAAATCAGTTGATGACGCTAAGACGTGAGAAAGATTCGTTAAAAAATGATTGTTATTGACCTCAATGAGAGATAACCTGTTATTCTACAATATTGATGAAGAGAAAGATAGAGAGGCTAGAAAAAAAGAAAATTGTACAGAAGAAAGTATTAAAAGTTTTGTTTTGACAAGATGGAAATAATTGACCGCATATAGATATAAAAATTGATAGGGCGCATCGTGTCGGAAGTCATGAACATTGGCAAAAATACGCCAAATTGTTGCTAAGTTTTAACTTTCACCAAGATAAGATGGGGGTGAAAAAAAAAAGCAAGGCTCAAATTATCTGAGAACTGATGATGGTTGTAAGTGACCAATACCCTCAGGAGATCCGTGAGAGGCGCCAAAAAACTTATCCCTTATCTTGTTCAGGCGAGAAAAGAAAATAAAAACAGCAGTGCTTTCCTTATATGATACAAACTGTATATCGATAATCGATCTTACACAGTGGACCGTCTCCCGCCAGGTCCTGTCCCAATTCTAACGAGCGTCGCACTCGAAGGAAACAACCTTACATTTCAGGTCGGGACCAGAACCAACATATGGTCACAGATAGTGTGCAGGCGTAGAAAAACGTAAGGAGGGGGCAGCTAAAAAATTTCTCTCGTGGAATATCCAGGGAATTAAAAATAAATTAACTTTGTAATGACTTTTTGGACTTTCTGAACGGCTTTGATATTTTGATTTTGACAGAGAACATGGAATTCAAATGTATCAAATATTGACTTAAAATAATTTTGAATATTTTTCATGTCCTCAGGCCGAAATATAATAAGAAAGCTAAAAGGTACAGTGGTGGGTAATTTGTGTACTTTAGAAGTGAATTTAAAGGTCCCAAATTGAGTTAGTTTCATTAAACAATAAAGGGTATAATATGGTTTAAATTACAAAAATCAATGTTTGCATGTTCAAATGTATGTTTTTTTGTTGGGTTGTTATATACCTCCTGAAGATTCCAAAGGTATATAAACAATGTGAATCACCTTTATACGAATTTGACTTTTTGAAACAAATATCTGATGATATTTCAGAAAGTATAGTCGGCTTGGATATGTGACAATATGTGGTGACCTAAATGCTCGAACTGGTGAAAGACCAGATATGATTGAAAAATATACACCTTGAGCGTTTTATTAATTTACCTGAAGAAGACGATATTCCTATAGGAATCCAATCACGAACTTCCTTTGACAAACAAATAAATAGTTTCGGTAATAAAATTAATTACATTGTGCAAAGAAAATGCTGTCTATGTTGTTAATGGCCGTCTTGAACCAGGTCATTTTACATGTTATAATCTTATAAGAAACTGCAAAGCTGCAAGTGTTGTAGACTACATTATTGCCGATTCAAATGTTTTTTCTCTTATTGATGTTATGAAAGTTCATGACCTTTCAGAATTTTCTGATCACTGTCCAATTTCGTTTTCAGTTTCATATGTTGACAAGTAGAGATTTTGATGCTAAAGCATCAAGTCGCCGGATAGAAAAATGATTGTATTATCATAAATTTAAGAAAATATAAGTTTAATGGTTCAAGTATAAAAATAAGAGGAACAATGAGTTGAGTAATGTTTGCCACTGAGGCTTGTAAGGCAAGTGCTATTCTGGTAATTCTTCTTGTAATTATACTTTATACATATACTGTTGTACCATACATTGAAATCCGTATAGGTTACTAGTTCAGATTCAGATAATTACCGACAAATAATTACCGATCATCGAATATTTGCAAAGTGACTTTGAAAATATATATGTTTAATTATTACATGAAACAATACAATTTTACTGTAAGAGTGTTGTCCATCATTATTATGTGCTATAGAAAAAATATATAATCTAGTTGAAATCAATACACGTATTCCAATCGTTACATACGATATATAAAATAGTTTATTATTTTTTTCTATGTATCTAATACGATTCCGGACCCCTGACGTCATACCGTTTTGGAAACCTGCGTGACGGAAACCGACGGAATATACCGAAATCAACGATTACCATTATATATTTCAATAATGTGCCTCTTAAGCATAACATTATTTTGGGATGTTCAACCTAAACTAAACAATTGAACTTTCTTGTCGAATGTTTGACAGAAAGGGCCAAGTTAAACCCTTTACCAAGAAGAAAGGAAAAGGTTTTGAAAATGTATTTTTAAAGTAAACAGGTTTCTCTTATGATATAAAGTATGAACCTGATTAATGAAAAATAACTTATGTAATCATCTGTACAAAATTGCAATGATTTACATCTTATCAGTTACCACCATTAACAAATTACCTGTCTTATCAGCAATCTGTTACTATTAATAGATTTTATAACGATATACAACATATATAAACATGTAGTCACGTGATTCTTACGAAAGACCAGGGAGCATTTGTTTATAATTAGATAAAATAATGTAATATAAAAGGTCTCATAAAATAAACAACCAAATAATTCTAAAGAGTCATTTCAAATATCATTCATGATTTATTTATTATAAAATAGCAATGCTTGACAATAGAAAAAAGTAATAGTATCTCTAATATTCAATGACTGATCCTTGGGGGTACGTTATTGATTCATTTTATGAAAATTGTAATGTTGCTTTTTAAGACGTCAATATGTGCATATTTCATTCCACTGAGCAAAGTTATCATATGTTTGATTTTTTGTGATTACTGAAAAATAATTGTTGTCTTTAATTGTTCAATGATTGATATGCTTTTATTTTCAGATTTTAAGGGCTTCTCCTACCATAGTTATAATATTAAACTATTACAAATATAGTCGCCGGTTTCTACCGGCGACTAATAACAAACCTATTGCAAATGAAGATATAACTTATGACAAAATAGTATGGGAAGATATCGATAATGATAAACTTGATTCATTATTGAATGAATATAAATATTCTTTTGATGACATTACAAAAAATTTATCGTGTGATAACATTGACATTGATACTTGTATAAACTTGTTTTCTGATTTAGTTTTTGATATATCATTCAAAGTGAATGGTAAAACTATAAAGAAGAGTTCAACAAGAAAACCTTCCAATTTTAAAACGTCATTATGGTTTGACAATGATTGTAAGCGAAATAAAAATGAATTTTACAGGTGCAAAAGATTGTTTAAAGATGATCCGTCAGACCGCAATAGAAATTTGTTTTTGAATGCACGAAGCATTTTTTGTGCAAGTAAGCGCAAAGCTAAAAAGCAATATTTTTATCAGGAAAAGAAAACGCTTTCTAAGTTGAGCAAGACTAATACTAAACAATTTTGGAAATATATTAAAAAGTATAAAACTAAATCGAGTAATGCAAGTCATGGTGTTAGTTTACATGAATTTGTTGAATACTTTAGTAATATGTCTAATACACAGCATGAAAATGTTTTTAACCCTGCAAATTTTTCTAACAGAACAGATACGGTACAGATTGAGAGTCTTGATTGTAAATTTAGTATAGATGAAATACGTAAGACAATAGCATGTTTAAAAAGGCATAAAAGCTGTGACATTGATAAAAATGTAGCGGATTTTTTCATAGATTCTAAAGATTTTATTGCTCCTTATCTTGTAAAACTTTTTGATAATATATTTGATAAAGGTGAATATCCTGAATCTTGGAGTAAAGGCGTTATCATTCCTATTTTTAAAAAAGGCGATCGTAAGGTACCTTCAAATTATAGAGGGATTACAATTGTCAATGTTTTAGCAAAGATTTTCTCATTAGCGTTAAGAAACCGCATAAATAAATGGTGTGAAGAGGAAAACGTTTTTAATGAATCTCAGTTTGGTTTTAGAGATGGACGGAGTACTGCTGATTGTGTGTTTATATTGCATAGTATTATTCAGAAAATACTTTCAAAAAAATCTAAACTTTACTGTGCGTTCATCGATTATGAACGAGCTTTTGATACGGTTATACATGAAGCATTGTGGGTTAAACTTATAGAATCTGGTATCAGCTGTAAAATGGTTAGAATGGTAAAAGCCATCTATCAAAACGTAAAATCTTGTGTAAAAGACACAGCTTACTTGACCATTTCTGACATGTTTAATGTTTCTATTGGTGTTAAACAAGGGGAACCACTCTCTCCTCTATTATTTATTTTATTTGTTAATGATGTAAAAAATGTTGTTGATGTGTCACAATTAACAGAGACTGATTTATCTTTACTATCTGTACATATGTTATTATTTGCTGATGATATAGCTCTATTTACCACAAACCCAAATAGTTTGCAATCCTTTCTTGATAACATTTATATATACTCGTTGCAGTGGGGCCTTAAAATCAATGCTGGCAAGACTAAAATATGTATTTTTGAGAAAAGAAGAACGCAATGCAATTATAATTGGTATGTTAATGGTGCTAAGCTAGATATCGTTAATTCTTTTTGTTACCTTGGTGTTAAATTTTACTATACCGGTAACATGAAATTTGCTGTTCAGGCTCTAAACGACCAAGCTCTCAGAGCATACAACAATCTTCTTTCAGTTATAAGTAGACTAAATCTATATATAAAAACACAATTATCACTGTTTGATTCTCTTGTAGTCCCCATACTTCTATATGGCTCAGAAGTATGGGGAGTATCTAATTATAAAGAAATTGATAAACTTCATTTTCGTTTTGCAAGAGAATTCTTGGTGTTAGAACCCAGACATCAAATGCTGCTGTGCTGGGTGAGCTTGGTCGCTTTCCATTGTCTGTATTATGTAAAGAGCGAGCATTGAAACAATGGTTAAAGATAATGAAATGTCCAGGTTCACTTATGTATAACATTTTTTTCAGAATTAAAGTCGTCAGAAAATCTAAACTCAAATAATTCCTTGACTTTGTCTGTGAAAAAATTGTTAAATAATTTAGGCTATGGATACTTATGGAATGAAACAAATTTTGATAATAACTATATGTTTGTATTAAAGCAAAGATTACGGGATCAATACGTACAAGAGTGGAGCGAAACAATTACAAATCAACCAAAACTTAAATTTTACTGTTTGTTCAAGACAGAATTTTCTTTTGAAAAATATTTGACGGTGTTAGATAAAAGTTCCTGTAGACTAACAATGTCTCGATTTAGATTGTCGTCACATAATTTAGAAGTTGAAAATGGTAGATTTGTTGGAATTGATAGAAACGATCGTATCTGTAAAATGTGTAGTACTCATGTTGAAAACGAATATCATTTTTTACTCTGTTGTCCTATTTACAGAGAGTTGCGTAAAAGATATTGTATAAACTATTCCTTTCCTACTCTAAATAAATTTCATTTTCTTTGTCAAGTAAAAATATAAGAAAAATAAGAAATGTTGCAAAATTTACTTCATGTGCTATGAAATTAAGAGCAGAATTTCTTGCAAATATGGCTGCTCCTTAAAATATCTGTTTAAAGTACTTTCAAGTTATAGAAATATTGTAAAAATAATCGTTTGATGTATATATGTTTTTGTGTGTTATATCTATATTGTATTTATTTCTGTTGCCTTGGCCATCATGAAAGTTATTGTAAATGGCCAAAGGCATTTTCTCATGCCGATTTAGCCAAAATAAACTGTATAAACTGTAATGAACACTATTGGTGACATCCATCTTAAATGAAGCTGAAATTAGAAATAAGAAAGCACAGCAAAAGCAGAAGCAAAATAAGTAAAAACTAAACTTTGTGATGGAAATAAACTCAAAATAAAATTAAAAAAAAAAAGAAGACGCCTGACTTGTAAAGGGAGATGACTAGTATAAAATATGATCATAATGACATTCCAGGGTTGTCTCCCTTATAGTAAGATAGTGCATTATTCGTATAATGCTTATTATGTAATGATACAGTTATGCGTATTAAACTATGGTACATTAAATCGTATGACAAATGCAGACTTGACAGTGTAAATATCTTATTTTATAGGCATTAACGGCTATAGAAACAAAAAAACAAAACAAACATGGCTCTGCAAGATTTGTCTCAAATTGTATTAGACAATCCTACTGGTGTTTTTTACCCTGGTCAACTTATTACAGGGAAGTTTGAACTTGTTCTTACAGAGAAAAAAACTATTACAGGTGAAAAATATTTGACGGTGTTAGATAAAAGTTCCTGTAGACTAACAATGTCTCGATTTAGATTGTCGTCACATAATTTAGAAGTTGAAAATGGTAGATTTGTTGGAATTGATAGAAACGATCGTATCTGTAAAATGTGTAGTACTCATGTTGAAAACGAATATCATTTTTTACTCTGTTGTCCTATTTACAGAGAGTTGCGTAAAAGATATTGTATAAACTATTCCTTTCCTACTCTAAATAAATTTTATTTTCTTTTGTCAAGTAAAAATATAAGAAAAATAAGAAATGTTGCAAAATTTACTTCATGAATGAAGCTGAAATTAGAAATAAGAAAGCACAGCAAAAGCAGAAGCAAAATAAGTAAAAACTAAACTTTGTGATGGAAATAAACTCAAAATAAAATTAAAAAAAAAAGAAGACGCCTGACTTGTAAAGGGAGATGACTAGTATAAAATATGATCATAATGACATTCCAGGGTTGTCTCCCTTATAGTAAGATAGTGCATTATTCGTATAATGCTTATTATGTAATGATACAGTTATACGTATTAAACTATGGTACATTAAATCGTATGACAAATGCAGACTTGACAGTGTAAATATCTTATTTTATAGGCATTAACGGCTATAGAAACAAAAAAACAAAACAAACATGGCTCTGCAAGATTTGTCTCAAATTGTATTAGACAATCCTACTGGTGTTTTTTACCCTGGTCAACTTATTACAGGGAAGTTTGAACTTGTTCTTACAGAGAAAAAAACTATTACAGGTGAGTCTTAACTACGATAATAAGTTTAGTCACCCTTTAAAGCTGACCATGCATGTAAAACATTTTTAATACACGGTAATTTCTAATTACTGAGACGATTTAAAGCTGTATACCTCCAAATAAGAAAAGTAAAGATATTTGCAATTCAAGTTATTGATATTTTTGTAATTTCTAGCGTGTGACTTACGCAATAAAGGGTTAATCTACATATTTTGTCATTCATTTGGTAATTTACGTTTTGTTTGCAATGTGTAAATTACTTTCTTCCTTCACTTGAAAAAAACTTAATTTTTGATACATTTTTTAAAACTTATATAAAATATGAGGCACGCTGCTTTAACCTGATTAAGGTATTTTATTAGTCCCCTACCGGTTTACCGGTGTTCACTTTTAAAGAACTTTTTCAACAAATTTACTTAAAATAGAAACATAAGTGAATGGCCAATGGCTCTTCAGAATGTTGCTTGGGCTCTTACCGGTAGGGGACTTATGGATTGCTTGCAATACTATGATAATTGCTTGTTTAATCAAGCCTTTACCATTAATCTAATTAGCTAATATTGCTAATATCACTAGAATTCAAGTGGAAAATTATCTACGGTGATGTTTGTTTTGGCTAACAGACTGTAGATCGTCATATTGAAAATATATCAATATTTCCATGGTGGACGAAAGAAAATGCTTAAAACCGCACCGTTTTAAATCGGATTTTTCGTGAATGTCTTTTATACTGACTGTATTTCTTCAAATGAGGGGCATAAACTTTAACACTCAAATCATTTTAACACTTTCTACAACACGTTTATTCCAAACGATTCAATCGATGGGCAGTTTTGAACAATTTACAAGGATTAAGCGGCTGAATTTGTGGAAGAATTTGTGGAAAATCGGCGAGACTTTCGGATCAGAGCAGAAAGGAACTGGACAGAAAATTTTATTTAGATATTTCACAAAGTTGGTATCAGCCAGGGTTTATGCAATTTATTTAAAGAAAATCTTTTTCAATATAAAAAAAGACAAATATCAGAAAAAGGGCAATTCTTCGTGTAGTTTTCATATGGATTCTACTACGGGCAGAAAAAACTAGCTAAACTTGTAATAAATTAATTAAACGAAAACTTTCTGCTGAAACTCGTTCTCAAACCATCGACATAATCAATTTATAAACACACAACCCGCGGTATTAACGTTAATGTTCTACGGTTATGTAAATTCTACATTCTTATTTCAGCTATCAACTTCATTTCCAAGGGCCAAGCAAAATGTCAATGGACAGAGGGAGCGGGAGAAAATGCCCAATTTTACGACGGACATGAAAAATATTTCCATTTTAAAGAGTGTCTGTTTGGAAAACGTGAGTGCATTTTCATGGATATTTTTTAAGTTTCTTTTTATAGATTTATCTGTAAAAGTCTGAAGTAGTGGTGACATTGTTAATGTTAAAAGGAGACCGATTGTCCACGTTTATTTTCTTAGAATAAACCCCGCCTGCATCAATGGTTGGCAAGTTATTTGAATCCTTATACTCGAGTTGAATTGTTCAGTAGGAATATAATGTATATTATTAGCAGGTAAAAAACAGGAGACAAACAAAATAAAACGTTTGATAAGTTTTATATTTTTTTTAAATCTTTTTTCCATATTTCTATGCCAGACTACCTTAATAGGATAACTTGTGTGAACTTACGAGGGCCTATAAAATATAAGGCCATACATGCATATTTAATATAATCATTTACATCACATGACATATTATTTTTGGTCTATATAATGATGTGAATATATTACCATTCAAATGCTTCAAAATGTTTATTTTCTATGTTAAAACATCTCCTCGTATGCGCGACACTCAAACATTTAATGGGAATATCATATATCAGCTTTTGATCCCTCTTATCAGTATGATTTCGTTAAAGCTGTTTGCCTCCCAGATGAGTGATGAGATTTCTAGAAAGTCAAATTTGAGAAAAAAATGTATTAAGATTTTAAGCAGAGTAAAAAAGGTTCACGATTCAAGTAATAACTAACATGTTATGTGCGATTAAAGACTGATTTTACAGTATTTATTTCCATAATTCTTATATGCGTGACGAACGCAGTGAGGGCTGTTCTTGCATATTTTGATCTCTTTTAGATCATTTATGAAGATTTTAAGTGCAGTTTTAATTTGAAATTAATTTTCCTTGTTCACTTCAAAATATTAAATACATTTTCAAATTTTCGTGAAAGTTAGCATGAATCTTGAGGCATGAAGATGTTGATAGGTGTACATATGTAGCAACGCTATATGTCGCAACGCCGCTATATGTCGCAACTAACGCTAAATGTCGCAACGCTGACGCTATATGTCGCAATCAACGCTATATGTCGCAATCGCCTACCGCTAAATGTCGCAACGTTGCCGCTATATGTCGCACAAAAATCGATTGCCGCTAAATGTCGCAACCCCTTGACGCTAAATGTCGCACTTGGTGGAAAAGTCAAATCAGATCAGGCACATTGACCGATTGGTTTCCATTTATATTTGTAACAAAACTACCTTTCACAAATACATATATCGCATTAACAGAGGTTATATCGGTAACAAAATGAAATTAAATATAAGCCGCGTGAATTCATATCGTTACTGCGTGATGTGTCTTACAGTGGAACGGACAACAATTAAACATCAAAATAGTTGGTAGCGGGACACTTGAAGGTCAAAGGTTAAATTCGTGTCCGCTCCATAACTTTTTCATTTATTATGCTAATTTGATCAAACTTCACACAAATGTTCACCGGCATTAGATATTGTGTCCCATGCAGCATCAAGGTCCCTACCGCGTCAAGGTCAAGGTCACACTTGAAGGTCAAATTCTTGTCCGCTCCATAACTTTATCATTTATTTTGCGAATATTTCAACAACTTTCGATAATAATTTATCCCTTAAACAGGGATTCCATTGTAGACTACCGTAGAACGGTTCTAACACATTAAAGTAAAAGAATCTTATTTTATAATTTTCTTGGTTAAATTGATGGATACCGCTGTGTAGGAGCACATTTGTCTCGGAGCACATTTGTCTCACGAAGTGTGACCAATGTGTTCGTAAACATTCATATTTGCGACAAATTGGAAATGAGACAGATGTGTTCGACACACAATAGAAAGGACACTCGAAGCACATTTGTCTCACATTCTTCCATAAAATTCTTAAAAGGTAATCATAATGTCCATCTGTATACCGGCTACCAGCCATTGTTCTATGTTTTCTGTATTTATAATACCGTTTTTAGGTCACTTCCGGTCAGTCAAAAACTTCCTGCCACTGCATAGGGCTCATATATTAAATTAAAGAATATCCCTGTTCTGCATGTCACAATGAAAATTTCCACAAGTACAGCATCCAGAACCTAAACACTTATGCAGCAAGTCTATTCTTATCGTTATTAATTTTGATACGTTTATTTTCAATATTTAAAGTTTTATAAATGATTTATGGCACTAGAAATATTCTTAGCAAAAACAAGGTAGTATCTACGGTGGCATAAAGGGGACATAGAATTTCCTTTTTTATTACGTGCGCACACGATAGCTTTTATGTGGCCACGCGATACTATTACATGCGCACGCAATAGCTATTACATGCGCACGCGGATATGTAATCCGCATTTGGACCCTGACCGGGATCCTCGCATGAATAGTTCGACGCCCCGTGTATGTGTCGAACCTACAGCGGTTAGGGGCTAGTGAGTTTTTGGAATCACTCGGCCACGGAGGCCCTTAAATGATCTATGGGAGAAAATAAGAAGACCATTACACACGTATTTTGTTTTCATCAGAAATATATGTATAAAAATATCGCCATTTTCCAAGAATTGCGGCTTTCAGATCCGCCATTGAAAAAGCACTTACAACATGCATGAGTTCCTAAAATAATCAAGGTAATGCCATAATAATGGAATATCGGGCCACTCAGAATCGGGTGAGACGCGACTTTCCGATGAGACACGAAGCGAGGCACGATATTGTAACACGAGATCTGGCAATGTCGAAGTATCCCGTACCACGAGATTTCATAAATGAATAAATTTTCACTTCTTTAGAGAGGGCAAGTATGAATTTATTGATATTCAAATAATGATTTCTGAGGAATTTAGATGCTTGTTACCCAAAGAATTCGCGATAGATGTGAAATAATGCGTCATAAAAGTAGCAAAATGTAACAAAGTAGTATTTTGACTTCAATACAAAATTCTAAACCACTTCAACTGTACAAACTGCAAAAAAAAGCAGCAGATGAAAAATGCTTCAGGTAATAAGCCAATGAGTAGCTTTTTGGAGCTATTAAAGTATAACAAAAATAAGAAAGCTTTTGAGGAAAACAAATAAAAGCATTTCTCAGTCATAAATAAAATTATTTTCAGCATTTAAATAATTTGGGTTATTTTTTATTGAAATCGACTGCTAGCAGGGGTATTTGTTAAACGTGTTTAACACATTAGGTAGTACGATATTGTTCTACTTGACTGATCGCTAAAATTCCCGCCACTTTCTCACGGCTATATAAGGCTCGGGAACCTCGTGCATTCCTGAGGGGCCTCCGTGGCCGAGTGGTTAAGGTCGCTGACTTGAGATCACTGGTCCCTCACCGCTGTAGGTTCGATCCTCACTTGGGTCGAAATCTTTCATGTGAGGAAGCCATCCAGCTGGCTTACGGAAGGTCGGTGGTTCTCCCCGGGTGCCCGCTCGTGCCTGAAATAATGCCCGGAGGGGCACCTGGGGTCTTCCTCCACCAATAAAAGCTGGAAAAAAAATCGACGAAAAAATCTCGACGGGACGCTCTAGGATGGCCCGACTTGAGTGTACGGTCGCCCATATGGGCTTTCCGGCGGCGACCTTAAATAAACACATTAAAAAAAAAAATGCATTCCTCTCACTTGCTTTCAACAGCCGTATTCGCTATATGCTTAAACGTTTATGTGAAACTCAGCAAAATGCCACGAGGTCGCAAAAGAACAGAATCCACAAGTCGGCCAGGAGTTCGGACACGTCAGTCGTCGAACCAGGGCCTTACCAGCAATAGCCGTGGTAACAAGAGGGGTGCTGACGTTCTTGAGGATTGTGTGGATCCACGGGTGAATCAATCAGACGCTGGTAAGTCGCCGATTATTGATTTTGAACATATCAATCAAGCTTCTAATATTTTGCCTGAAAATTCGAACAGTAATTCTCAATTTGTTGGGTGTGGCGGCGTGACTTTACCTAATAGTACTATTTCTTCACATTTAGATAATCACAGTAATAATCCAACTTCTATTGTTATAAATGACTTGCCTGTTATGGCTGGAATTAGACTGGCTGATGACGATTTATCAGCTCATGTGCCCGCGACCCTTAAGCAGAAAATCTGTAAGGGTGAATATATCAATTTAGCTTTACTATTAAAGGGGTCTGTTGAATTGTCCGAGTTTTGCAAGGGGTCGGTATTTCGTTTAAGTAGCGATGGCCACCTCGAATCTGCACAAAGGGAGTGTAAAGACCAAATAAGTAGCATTGAGAAATGGACCATTGCTTTTATTATTTACGCATCTATCTACCTGTCCACCCACGCTGATAAAGTTTACGAAATATTGCACTACATGTTTCAATATTAGAGATTGTGCTGTTCGACAGGGTGGCTTAGCTTGGCAAGCCTATGACGAACAGTTTCGTCTCCGACAGGCAATAACGCCTTCTCCATGGTGCAAAATAAATAATGACTTGTGGTGGCGTTGTGTTCAGGTCAAACCAAGCCTTCGTAATACTATAAATCCATATAGGTACACGTGTAACGATTTCAATGCCGGAAGTTGCACGTGGCCTAACTGTAAATTTTCGCATACTTGTGCGACATGCTCAGCGCCACATTCGGCTATTAACTGTTATAAAGGTTTACAGTCTAAATCGGTAGATCAGCCCTCCACTTCGGCTGATTCATCATTTCGGACAAAAGGGGGACAGCCCTTTGTTAGGGGACGAGCCCGTTCTAGGGGACAATTTAGGAAGTAAAGGCAAACAAAATTTAAATAATGGTCAGGGCGGCCTTCATTCTATAGCGAAATCACCTATCAAAATTACTCGATTAAAACACTATTTACAATTTTATGATAAGGTGGAAGCAGAATTTCTACTTGAAGGATTTTTAAATGGTTTCTCTATTCAGTATACTGGGCCTCGTTCACCAAGGGATGCTAAAAATTTAAGATCGACGACTCTTAATCCAGAACTAATTTCACGTCAAATTGAGAAAGAAGTTAACGCCGGTCGTGTTGCCGGCCCATTTTCAAAACGTCCTCTGCCTAATTTAATTGTGTCCCCTATAGGTTTAGTGCC